AAACCAATCTACTTGGCAGATGTAAAACTTCACATTGTGGTTTTAAATGCATAATGTGGAAAGCACCGACAGTTTTACTCAAACCCAATCCTTTCAGTGTTAAACCCAGTTTAGAGATTAGTGTTACATCAGAAAGCCAAGCCCAGGTAATAACATGTGAGTCTTCCCAGTTCATGTATAAATCAGGATATGTGAGATGTGATTTAAAGAGGCAAGGTGGCAAAGCAGTGAAGATGCTGCTTCCTGCTGGGTGCAATTGCTTTCAGCTCACATGGAAGAAAAGTAACTAGAAGGCCTGGTAAGTCCGGAATGGATTTAACACTTTCTGATAAGTGGCCATGTGTCATACTTTTTAGAGAACAGTCCTCTGTTTGAAGGACTGGCCAGTACAAACCTTTAAAGGAGTAGAACTTGAGAAGGTTGAGTAGAAGCTTTTATTTTTTAAATCACTCCCATGGCTGAATTCCACTTTATCCAAGACAGGAAACCCATCTGTTTAGAAAAACTGCAGTTCTAATCAGAATTGGACCATGCAGTTTGTGTTGTAGTTTTGCACCATGGAAAGGAGTATTGGTTATTGTGGACTTAGGGTCAAACTAACTATCATGGTAAGAAAGTGTCTGATCCTGTGTGCTTTCACTAAATAATTGTTGTGGGACTGCAGCATGGGAGGGAGAAGGGATCTGACAGCCCCATGTCCCTCATCCAGATTAGCCCCACCATCTCTGTGGAATAAACAAAAACCAGGAAAGAACACAAGGGCAAACTATATGCTTGGCATCCCATTTAGTTTGGTCCTTATGGATGCTTTGATTGATGATAAAAACCCAGAGGATAACCCCAGCTGAGCTTCAGTTCAGGTCTATCAGACAATATTGGGAACCGAGTTCTGATAGCAGGGAAGAAAGGACCTTGCACCCATTCTGCCCCCTCCCTGACACCACATTGCAAATGGCCCTGGGAACTCTAAGCTAACTGAATGAAGGTCCTGGGAAAACCACAGGAGAGAGAGAGTGTGTGTGTTTACTATGCTTCTGGCAAGGATGGCATTTTTTTCCATTGAACAGAAATAAAACCTTGTAGTAAATTGATACTCTCTTATTTAATTGTTTTATTTAAAATGTATTTTGGCCACTTTTCAGAAAGAATCTCCTTTCAGCTCTGCCAAAAGCTATTGTCTCAAGCAAATAAATTTGTTTTCTTGGTTCCTCTAAATCGAGGAATCATCAAAAGCATCTTCATTGTTTGTTTGTTTGTTTGGTAGTTAAATCAGAAGTGCTGCTTCAGTAAAAGGAAATAAATATTTCAGGTGGTTCCACATTTTTTCCTATGAATACTACTTTGACATTTAAAAAGGAACTCATAATAGGCAGGGCTACAGCTCAGTGATAGAGCATGTATGTCACATAAACAGAGCAACAGTGTAACTAAAGATAAGTAAGCTACATCTTGTGCTGTCAGCTTTCAAAGCAATCTGGAATTTATTTGACTGGTATGATTCAATTAATTAGCATGTGTCATAGTTCTTTGTACACCTGAGGAAGGGCCATAGCTCAATGACAGAGGATGCATGACACATAAATGAAACTATATGAACTTTCCCCAGAATTCCTAGTGACTAAGATTACAATTTATAGACAGAAAAAAATCCTACAACTCACAGGATGCCTCAGCTAGCCATACTAGGAATTACAGGACTTTTTCAATCAAGAACTTAGCTGGCTCATGCTGGGAATCTTTTTGTGACCATGCATAGTATTATGCCCTGTATCTCAGGAGGCTGAAGGAAGAATTTCCTTATGTGAAGAACCCAAGATGGCTTATATAGCTCCATTTTATACTCAGAGTAACAATTCAGAGGTAGGTTATGCCAAGAGTGAGTGATTGGCCCAAAGTCATTCAGTGAGCTCCATGGCCAAGTGGGGACGAGAACATGGATCTCCTGGGTCCCCAATCCAACACTCCACCCACCATACCACACTGGCTATCAAAGATAAAGACAGTTGCCCATGTCCCTGGAAACTGGAATTCATAAATTCGACCATCCGAGTTGACCATGCAGCCTGGGGGATTCTCTTGTAGTTGCATCCCATTGCCCAATCCTATTTAAGATCCACTGCAGACCTTTAGCCTCCATTGCATGGAGCACTGCAGGACCAGGCAAAGGAGGCATGGCATGTGGCATGGGGTGAGCCTAATTAGTGCAGTCCCCTTTTCCTCCCTCATTTTTCTGTTCTCATGAGATCTACAATGCCTGCATGGGGTTCTGGTCCTTAACCCATATATCCATTCATATATCATTTGGACAATTGCCCAGTCAATTGCACGGCAGTAGCGTATAATCACTGGTTTGGAAAATGCATCTGTGTAGTTAAATAGCAGGAAAAAATGCCTGTTACAGTGACATCATTCTGGAACAGAAGATAAAGCTTTTGTTTTCCTGAAGAAATTAAGTTCTAAATTAAGAGGATTAGCACAGCTTAACATAACTAAGTAGGGGGAAATTCATAGGATCTTTGTCTGGTAGAATGATAAGGCTTGCTATTTGTTGCTTTATCTTTGTGGGTTAAAAAACCATTATGGTTTCTTTAAAGATTTTCTGTAATTCAAATACAATTCATTCAAGTTTTTGTGTGTGGGTGAAAGAGAAAGTGAGTGTGGATAAGGCTGAAGTCAGTGGAAAATTTATAACATCCTTTCTTTGTACAAAGATTCTTATAAATTTATTCTTACTGGCCAGTAGTGGAAACTGCAGTTTTACCTATCACCACCAGTTAGCAAGGAACCTGGAAGCAGTATATATGAGAGCATTCCTAGGAAGGGGATAGTAGCATGTTTCCAGGCCATGAATCCTGTTCAATGTAGTCTAATACAGCTTCTGTTTTACTCCTGTAAAAATCGCAAGATTTAGCCACCCTGTTGATACAAGGAAATATGTTTGCATACATATTCTTAAACATGGTCCGCTTAAATTTAGTTTCATTTCCCCCCACATTATAGTAGCCTTACTCCTGGCTCCCCAGTTTCCCACATCCTGAATCCATCTGTCCTTAAGCATGCCCTTCCTGGGTGGCAGGAAGAGAAGGCGGTGGCCACCTGCTTTCCCTAGCAAATAATCAAGTTTGCTAGTATGGAAGCCTGCTGACCCACGTTCTTCTCTTCTTAACTTCAGTTAGATCAGGAGTGAATAACTTGTGGCCAGTTAAGGGTAGGCATAGCTGAGGTCCCATATGACAGAAGGGGCCCACCAACTAAATCCCGGCATTGCTTCTCCTTCTCACTATTGCAACCTGCTTGCTCGCCCACCTCTCATTCTGTCCCAGACAATGATGGTACTGTGAAGGAGGAGCAGTAGATAACTACTGCCTACTTGTTTACCAGATCTCTACCCATCAAGCAAGCAATAGGTGGCAGTGATGAGAAGAAGATGAGAAGCAATAGGAGCTTGTGACAATCAAAATGAGAAGGTAGATTTATTGAGGGGAGGAAACTTACTGGTGCTGTCTTGATCACGGGCCCTCAAAAACCTAGACCCAGCACTGCTTGTGACCCTCCAGATGTTTTGGCCTGGTGTTCCTCTCAAGCATAGCCAATGGCACGTGATGATGGAATATGCATGGCAAAACATCTTCAGAGCTACAAGTTGGGTGAGATGTTGAGTGTTCAGAAACTGCACCACAGTGACTGAGTGTTCTTAGTGTTGTTGCAAGGGAGAGAGACAAACCCAAAGTTAATTGGCACTGCCCTGTCCTCTGCCTTGCCAGTATCAGTGGACCAGTTACTACTGAATCTGGGCAAACTCATGCACAGAGCATATGTGGTTTGTTTCCTACTCCTTGCCTGGATCTGACATATCTGCAAGAGCAACTTTCCATTCAAGCCTACCTAGTCCCCAAGGGCTTCCAAAGAGTCTATTCCAGGCTATGTCCTTTTTATAATGTTAAGTAGGCCCTTCCCCATTGTGGTGATCATGCAACTGGAACTGTTCACAAAGATATTTCATTGGTCTGCTTTCTAATTTTGTGAAGGGTTCTTTTATTCTTGAAAAGGAATTTGACATAGTGTTGGTTCAAAAGATGTATGGAGGAAAGAAACTTAAATTCCACTGTAGCTGCTATTATATTGTGCATTCATTGTTATAATGGTTTATTTATGGTTTACATTTGCTATTAACAGTTTTTGGTAAGAGTTGTAGCTGACCTTAACCATGGATTTTGTAAGAACAGTTTTCAAATGCCAACAAAAATAAATTAATAATCTAGACATCCCATCACCAGGGGAGCACCGTTTTCTTTCGTTACTTTACAGCATTCAGTTCCAGATTTCAATGAGCACCCAATTCAGAGTAGTGTCAAAGCATATGTAATTCAGGATTTGTAATTAAGTAAAAACTAGCTTTCCCATTAATGTGTTGTGATTCACCTGTACTGTTTTATTTTGTTATGATATTTGTTGTAAATTCTGTGCAAATATTGGAAAGGGTGAGATATTCAGCCTTAAATAAATGCTTACAATAGAATGTGGTGGAAAATCTCTGGAGATTTCACACATGATAACAGAGTTAAAAGATGTATACATAGTGCTGTTTTCAGTTTTGGAATTCCATTTGTATTCTCAATGCACTGGTAACTTGTTTGGTACTGAAAATACTGTTGCACTGTGACTGTGAAGATCAATACTGTTGTTAGCTCATGGTATAAAATGATCTGCTGAACACCCCTTAGGCAAATCAAAAGCAAATTAAAGTGGAGGCCACTCTGCTGGGTGACTGGAGATTATTACTGCAGAGGGGAGGGGAATGATACAAAAGTAATTGCTACTGAGAAACCACATGGCAGTATTATGTTTTGTTTTTAATCCTTAACTGGATGAAAAATGGAAAATGTGGACCTTTTTAATGATGATGAATGCTTTCTTTCTGCCGCTTTTTAAAAGGCAGAAATATTAGAATGAGCTATAAATACAGAATGTGTGATTTGTTTGTTATTTTGGCCTCTCAGTCCTTACAAAGAAACTGGAAACTTATTCGGGATGAAGGGCTTGCTGTAATGGACAAAGGAAAGGGACTCTTTCTACCTGAAGATGAAAACTTGCGAGAAAAAGGTGACTGGAGCCAGTTTACCTTGTGGCAGCAAGGTGTGTAAGCTCTTACCTTCACTGTTCTCTCTCTCTCTCTCTTCCTCAGGTTCCTCAGTTTTCATGCTGCAATAGTAGTAAGCAGAATAATTTTGAGAGAGTTTCTATACAGTTAAGAAACAATATAACTATAGTGAGACAAGAGCCATCCTGAGGATGGAGTCAGGATCTTTCAAAAAGGAAGGGAAGGAGAGGATGTTTCAGTTTGGATTTGGCTGTTCCTATGGGCAGGCACTACACACACATCTCAAAGAGACTGGCACATTGATGTCATTTGTAAGCTCAGATAAAGGACGGTGTTTCTAAGGTTTTGTCTAAAGCCACTGGAGAAGGAAAGAGGAGGGTGAGACTTGCTCACAACAGAAACAAAAATTGGTGACTGTGGCACAGTGCTGGCATCATGTTTCTGGACTTCCTGGAGGAAGGTTCTCTCAGCTGGCTCACCTACTCCTTGTGGCTGTCATCACTATCCATTCATTTTTCCTCTTCCTCTATGTCCAGTCTAATCAGTCTCATAGAAGAAGCGGATGGTTCCCCCTTTCCTGTCAATGCTCGCTCTGTCAGAGAGGACAGGTTGGAGAGGGAATGACAACAAGGAGAAGAGCAGGACTGGGATTGGGCAGAGGTTGCCTGTAGGTCCTCTGCTGAACATGGATCTCAGCAGTCAGTGGATCCCTGAAGCCATCCCTGGCTAGAACCTTTACAATAGCACAGAAGTGGGAACATGTGGCCCTCCACTTGTTGCTTGACCACCTTCCTGATGAGTTGGGGTTCACCATCATTAGAAGTACTTCATGTTCCTCACTTCCTATGGTGTAATACTTCGCATGATTTCTGTTGTAACTGGGGACCTTTTCCACATGGGCAAGTTCATTATTTGATTACTTTATCATCAAGTGATGATTTATACTTGTAGATGGGCCATCCTGAACAGAGCACCCTGGCAGGACTTCCATTCTGACTTCCATCAACCCAAATGGATTTCCAACTGAGTTGGTTCGAACATCCTGCTGTGTGATTGTAACAGTAACATTCAGGAGATTTCATGTAATATTTAGTACTATCCAAAGAAAGAGACCAAGACTTGGAAGGGCAGCAGTTGTATTCCCTATCACTATGTATGGGTGTGAAATCTGGGCCGTGAAGAAAATTGATGTATTTAAAACATGATGCTGGAGGAGAGCTTTTTGAATATCCTGGACTGAAAGAAAGATGGGTCTTAATCAAATCAAACTGAAACTCTCTTTAGAAGCAAAAATGACAAAATTGAAGCCATCATACCTCAGGCACATTATAGGATGACAAGACTTAGTGGAGAAGTCAATAATGATAGGGAGAAATGAAGGCAAAAGAAGAAAAGGAAGATCAAATGTGAAATGGATTGACTCCACAAAGAAAGCCACAGCCTTGAATTTACAAGAGCCGAACAGGGCTGTCATGGGCAGGACATTTGAAGGACTTTCATTCATAGGGTTGCTATAAGTTAGAGATGACTTAATGGCAAAGAAACTGAACAGTGTGTATGCATTTGTACATCAGGCCTAACTTGAGAAATGTTGAGGAATTGGAAGTATGTGTAAACTGTCACATCTGATCTGTAGCACTGAAAACTGCCATGATATTGTGCTCTGGAGCCCAGCAATTAAGTTTCAGCTCATGCTCACAGTACGCTTATTTTTGTTTACTCATTTGTTGCATTTGCCAATCTATTATCATTTCCAACTTTCCACACTGAAAGGCTGAGGATGCTAACTACAAGCCAAAGATACCATCACAATATAGTTATTTGTTACAGTTGCTTCCTCTATCTGCAGCTTCCCACACTGTATTCTGCACTATTTTCAACCCAAGGAAAGGCCCACTCCACAAACATGAACTCTGATCTACTTGCAGAAGAAATGTTAGGATATAAGCCAATACAAACAAAGCAGCATTTCCAAACACATAAAACTTGCAACTTGAAATATAGACAAATAAAAACAGCAGGTAACTAAATTAATCATCATCAACAGTAACTGAGGAACTTACTCAGCTTGACAGGCCAAAGGTGTTATCAACATATTTTGAACTTGGAAAGGCATTCCTCTTTTCCCTTGCTAAGACTGCCTTCTGAATATACAGATAGTTAGTTTTCTGTAATGTGTGGCTAGATGTCTTTGCTTGGCTTCCCTGAAGCTGTAATTTTTGCAAACATGTTTCTCCCTGCCCAGAAAGGAGAAGACTATGAAGATTATGAAAGGATATAAAATGAAAAAAGCCTTCATTGTTTCCATTGCTCTCTGCGTGTGTCCTAATGTAGGCTGATCTGCATGGAGCTGGTGGCTGGGTCACCCTCCATCACACTAAGGGAAGGAGGACAGGATTAAATGATATTTGATCTCTGTTTCTGCCACTTTAGCATGACACTATGCACAACTTGGTGATAAATACATTGTCTTCCTTTACAATATACAAAGCCTCCTTCCCACATGTAGCTACAGAATATCTTTTTGCATTTCTTTTGTGGAAGGCTTGGACTTGCTTTAAACTTAACAAACTAAGTGCTGTACAATTTATTTATTTATTTATTTATTAAAACATTTCTATGCCGCCCCTTGCCGAAGCCTCAATTATAGAGAGGCTTAAGTAAGCTGATGAAGAAGAGGTATCCGCATGTCATAAACCAGATGCAATTCCGTCATTTGAAATTAATATGAGGCAAGGCATGAACTCTAATGTAGGCATGCAGTACATGTTGCAAATGAACATGTAAAAACACTAAAATAACTGTTTGGTGCATGATTGCTTATAAGAGAATTTACATACAGCAGTTGGCTTGGAATGTGAGATCAGAATAATGGTGTCTGTACTTTGTGCAAAAATTATGAGCCCTTCACCACTTGGCTGTCATAACAGGTGGATAATAATCTAACATGTCTTATTTGTAACATCTTATTCCACCATTTGTTAAGGATGAACAATTGGTGATACACATGGTTCTTTCATATAACAACTCCGTATGAGGTAGGTTAGGCTGAAAGCGGATGAGGATGACTTTGCATACAAACTGAGTCATGATCACACAGGGTGCAGAACAGAGATCTGAAACCATCTGAATCCTGGTCCAATACTTTAACCCAAAAGTGTTAACTTCAGGAGTATCATGGCCCCACTTAACCCTCCAGCAACTATGCCCAACCCCTACTGCCACCGAAATTGTCACCAAATTTGCTGTGACAGCAAAGAAGTGCAGAAATGAAGTAACAAGGAAACAAATCCGGCAAACAGCAAACCCCCGTGTACAAAAAGAATTGTGTTCCTATGAGGCCTGTTCCAGGAACATGAATCTGTCTCCAAACAAGGCCCATCCCGCCTTCGCGCTTTGTTGCTTTTTTCTGGCATCATGGCAGCAAACTGAGCATCAGCAAAGTCAAAGGAGCCCCATCAGTAGCCATGGTAGGCTCTGGGTTGCCCACCCCTTACCCAAACACCACACTGTTTTCTTTTTTGCCAGTCCAAATGGGAGGGGCAGGGGGCGGTGATTTTCTTTGGAACCAGAATATGAAAGCACAATATACACACACACACACATATACATACCACATGTGCCATGGTCCTGTTTTAAATGTGCATAAATGTGCATGCAATTAATGTATACTAAAGATTTTATTGCCAGATTAACACAATTTATAGTTTGGTCCTCATTCTGACCTTTCTCAATCTGAAAGTGGTTCTCACAATCCGTGGTACAGAATTTTTGGAATCTATCAAGCTCTCTAGGAGATGGAATGTGCCAGTGAGAGGGGCAACCCAAGAATCAATGAAGCAATTTGTGCACATTTAGTTTCTAAGGCAAGTTTGTTAGATTTATGCCAAAATATACATGGTTTAGAAATGTGGCAGAACTTGAAGTCTGATATTATTTACAGGGGTAGGCTTTCATCCATTCAGACACCTCTAATAAGATACATAGTTAAAACTGGCTTCATCTTGTACAATCCTGTAGCTCTCACATACATTCAAAAACCCTCTCCAAGATCAATTCTATTCTGCTCTCAAGGAAGTTTGCAGTACTTTCCCACAATGTTGTCATCCTCCAGGTCTTCTCCTCCTATCCCTAACATTTTTGTGGATTCTCATATTTAGAATACAGAAAGTTATCTCTTAAAATTTAAAACACAACAAAGTGGAACAAAAGCTTTCTGTATTTCTCCAAATGTGCCATATTGCAGTTTGCATAACCTTTGCCATATTGCATAATCTCTCCATTATCTTGTGGTTGGTAAATAGAATGTATGGAGAGGCACCATCACAACTCCACCAATGAAAATGGAAGATGTCTCAGTAAAGCATCAGGTTAAATCCCTCATGTAGAGCACTCTTGGCACAGATGTGTCTTCTGTTTCCAAATCTTATTGAGCAGGCATTTTCAAATCTGCTGGAAACTTGAAAGCTGATTAGCCTTTTGTGTTTAAAATTCTAATTCATTTTTCCCCTTTCAAACTTTCTCTAGGAAGAAAAAATGAAAAAGCTTGTAACAATGTTCCCAAAACATGTGCCTTATTGGAACGATTCCCAGAGGCCACTGGATGCAGAAGGGGACAGGTACTTGATAGTTTTATACATGTCCCTCTATATGTATATGTCTCTTTGGCTGCTGGTTTTGTACATGCCCCTCTATACACACACATTTTCCCTCTTCTCTGTATTTGTCTGTATGTGATTCATCTGTACAATAGAAAAGATAGATAACAACCTACAGATGTATAAGTCTGTAATACAGGACATCAAAAGAATGAATAATTGATACTGCAAAAAATGTACACAATTTAATAGATTCAGTTTGGTTTGTACAGGAAAGCAGTGATGTCACTGCCACCATTCCTGTTTTCCTCTGCTGGGAATTTAAAATTTGGGTCTGAATAGAAAGTTGAAGGAGCAGTGTTAGTTTTTATATACTGTCTAGTGTTTTCAAAACCTAGAATGTGCACTGCCTCTCTGAAAGGGTGTATGGGGCCAGTATTGTTTCCATCAAGCCCTTGTACTTTCAATTACAAAAGTGAGAGAGGGCACAATAATTGTCTCTCTTGCTGCAGAGAGGCACCATTGATCAAAACCAATGAGAGGTCCAATATAACATTTGAATAATCTTCAAGTGATTTTCAAATAGAGTTATGCTATAATGCCCTGATCTGGAATTTTGGATAGCTTAGTGAAAATAATGTCAGTTTGAATGAAAGTTTTTTTTTACAGATTGTTCCAATGTATTATCTAGCAGTGGGCACAGACAGTAGCAAGTAACATGGATTAAGTTCAAAGTAATTAACAGTAAAGGACAGAGTGCAAGTCTTTGCATCAAAATCAGTTTGTGCCTCTTGTAACATTTTGTTTAATAGAATGTGCTTTCATTTGTTAAAAGGGGATTGGTGGCCTTCCTTTTTAGCCTGTAGATGTGATATACTCGTTTAGATGCTGAAATTGGTTGTGAGCAACATAGACTGAATTTGCACATCTCATTAACCCTAGTCTAGCACAATGTGCATAAGCCTTAATGCTTAAGGCAAGCCTTAATCTTGCATGTTTCATCTCCCCTTTCCTCCTTCTGCACTTCCTACAGAAGGGTTCAGAAGCTGCTGCTGTTAGTTATTCAGTTTGCTGGGCCATCTGAACCTGAAATTCTGGTAAACATAAACTATGATTCTGCTTGGGAATCTGCTTGAGCTTGTTTGAGATTGATCACAGTTAGCCATAACCATAGCTTGTCATATTCCATGGATAATCAGAAGCTTTCAGACTTCTCCTCCTAACCATGCAGGGCTTGGGGAGGACTACCAAAGCACAGAGCTCACTGTGACTTGTTCCTGCTTGCACACATCACACTTAACAATGGTTGGTATGCCATGGAAACACAGCCATCAGGGGAAAATAAAACATATTCCTTATTTTACAGAGGAAACTTAGGTCCCAGATAGATGGATGGATATCAGAATTGTGGAGCAACTCTAGGATTTTCTGCTGTATTTATGGCTTCTATAATCTACTTTGAGGCAAATCCAGTGTCCTTCCATTAGAATAAATTACCAGGAAAGTATAGCCAGGATTTCTAACATAAGAAGATATGGCAGTGCTGGTTTGTCGTTTTAGACTGGTGCAAATGTAGCCCTATATATGTTACAGTAACTGAGTTCATTTTTTAAAATGTACTTTTTTCCACAGATCAAATATTCTGTTATGCACCCAGGCACTCATGTCTGGCCTCACACTGGGCCCACTAACTGCAGACTGAGGATGCATTTAGGCTTGGTGATTCCAAAAGAAGGCTGCAGGATTCGATGTGCTGAAGAAACCAGGTATCTTTCTCACCCACCTTCCTATCCTCTATAGAATGAGTAGAGTGAAACAGAGAGCTGGTGCAAGAGCTGAGAGGGAACACTTCACACCAAGCAGAGCCAAAAGAGAATCTGGTAAACTAAGGGCAGAGACAGGGTATAATTCATAGATGGGGCCTGGTTGAATCCGGAGGTCCTGTTGACAAGGACCTCATTGGCAAGTAAAGTTCTGACTAGTTGATAAGGCTTGTCAGTAACTCACTATACAATTGATTTGTGTTACTTTCTCTCCCTCCTTCTCCAAATCACCATATTCACAATATAATTATAAACAAAAATTATTTATAAATACCATTCAACAAATAAATGTATCACTCTGTCATTCCAGAGAAATTTTTAAACTATGTTGCATGGAATCTCTCTCTGGGATCCTTCTATAATAAGCAATTCTAAAGGGAGCATCCAACAACCATGGGATTCTGTCTTCACTTTTATTTTATTTTATTTTATTTTATTTTAAAGTTTTTATATGCCATCCCAATACTAAAAGTCTCTGGACGGCTTACAAAAACAAAACAAAAAAATGTACACAGCTGTTGATTTTCAGCAAATTTCTCCAACCTGGTATCATGGATCTTTGGTCATGCTGGCTGAGCCTAACACAAATTCTAGTCCAAAATAGATTAAAGAAGACTAATTCACAGGAACATCAAAGTTCCTAACATCTCCATAAGCCAATGGCATGGTTTGGAAGTGTTGTTATATAAAGTCAGTCTCAGAGAAGTAAAAAAAATCAGCAAAATATCCATGTGATACATGGTGTATTTAGTGAAATAACGAGTAAGTATTCTTGGTAATTCCCATGTCATTTTAAACTAGAATCTAATCTGATTAGTTTCTCAGTGCCTATGAATTTAGCAGCAACCAATTTTTTGTAGACAAACTCATACACTGAAGAAGAAATGCTGCATTGTTTAACCTGACTCTATTTGAACATTTGTTTCAACAGACACTTCTTTGGAAATCTTTTGCAGTTAAACTCAATAGAAAAGAAAGGCTTTAGGTCAGGGTGGGTCGATTAAAATCACACATGGGCAGATTGCATGAAACTTTTAGCTGCATTCTGTGTGGTCTGCTGCTTCCAGAGTGCCCCAGTCACTTTTTCTGATACCAAGTTTATCAACTATCAGTTGAACAGTGGGAACAGGTCAGATAAAACTTCCCCTAAGGAATCTGGATTATTAAGATCCCTGGAGCAAATTGATGTTACAGTGATCAATAAAAGCAGGAGGAAAACATCTATTTCAACTGGGATCACTGGGGACAGGAACAGAAGTTTTGGCCTTCCACCTCCCAGCAACCTTAATTAGGTCTGCCATTTCTTCACTGCTATTAACAGCAGGAAAGCAGCATTCTAGATCAGAATCACTGGGGACAGTTAAGTTAAAGCCTCTTCCACCTGTCCCCATAATCCTGTTTTCTGAGGGGCAAGAGGTACGAGGAAATCTCTCTCTCTCTCTCTCTCTCTCTCTCTCTCTCTCTCTCTCTCTCTTTCTCTCTCTCTCTGTGTGTGTGTGTGTGTGTGTGTGTGTGTGAGAGAGAGAGAGAGAGAGAGAGAGAGAGAGAGAGAGAGAGAGAGAGAGAGAGAGAGAGAGAGAGAGATTTCTAGGACTAACCACCAGTACCTCACCCCCTGTTGTCCCCAGAAGGTGGCCCAGCCCTGGTTTAAATCAAGTTTCCTATTGATATATATTCATATATTTCTTAAGTAGTAGAGCAAACTTAGTCACTTACTACTCATCTGGAAGTCTGTCCCATTGAACTGCATAGGCTTCACTTCTGAGTAGGCACGCATAGGATTGCATATCTGTTCAATCAGGATATTGACACTGTTGCTTCATTTTTGGAACCTTGGCTCTCTCTCTTCCATTTTATCATAACACTGGCAAATTTCACACTCCTTAGCTCCTTGACAGAGATTGCTTTGTAGTCTTGAAGGTTGTCTGTTAATTTTTACAGAGCATCATGGGATACTTAATAAGGTTCTCAGGTGGATAACCCCAGTCTAAAGATAAGCTCCAGGTTGCTTCTTCCTTGTAATGGTACATCACCATGTCCTCAAAATTCAATATTTGTTTCATAAACTAAGTTCTGCCAAAGAACTGGATCTCACAGGCCCATGTGTGCTCTTGTGGATTATTCAACCCATCTTCTGAATTTGTCCTCCCTACATTCAAGTAATGTCTTTAGAACTGATCTGAACAGTCAGTTATGTTGTTGTTGTTGTTTTGTCACATTCCTTTGTGAGATGTTAAAAACATTTGAAGAAAGTGCCTGTCAAGTCTCTTTCATTTGCTTCTGCAGAATTTCCAGTTTAATTTTATTTAGAATCCTGACATTCTTTTCCTGACTCCTTAACATTTTGAACATGAAATCTTATTTGGATGGCCAACAATGCAATCCTACGCCAGAAGGTCCCACTGAGTTCAGTGAGATTTTTCCCTCACATATGTGTGCATAGGATTGAAGATTAAGGCTGTGTTAGGTATGTAGGAAGAATATTCAAAATCAAGCTGCAGTATTGCATCTCAGTCTTCCAACAGATGATAATAGGCCATTGAACCATTTTAATTAATCTATCAAATTTTAGCATACAAATCAGTTGTTAAAGGCTTCTTCAATTATTTTCTTATTATAATTATCTCAATTTCCTTTTATGCTCACATTCCATATTTTTCTTGTTTCTGTGTTTTGTTGGATACTGAGCAATAGCTGGATACTGAGCAATCAACTCAACAGAGCTTTAGAGTTCTACTTTTGCTGTTGCTATTGCAGAAACACTGTTAGAGGTTGGGTTGAGATAGGGGGGAATTGCATGTGCCACTCAGATTCAGAACACTAATTGCCTGGCTAGTGTGCAGTATTTTGAGAACAGGGAGTTTTCAGCAGTTTGTAATATGGCTGCTTGCTGCTTTGGCAGTTTTGGGATCTTTGCCAGCACAAACCTGCTTTAAATACTGTGCCATACATGTCAGTGTGGCAACCATTTATTTCTCTGTTGAAATCACTGACAAGGGCATTTCTTCCCAATATTATGAAAGAAATTGGAGCTAGGTTTGGAAAAGCGGAGGGTGCTACATTGCTCCATGGCCTGTTAATGAAGTGTGTGGTTTATGTCTTTCCAGTCACTCCAGTGAATTCAAAGTAGGTGCTGAATGACAGTCAAGCTCTTTAGGCCAAGCCTGCATGGTTTCTTCCCCCTGTCCTGAAAGGATGAAATGCCTCTCCTAAAGCTTAATTTCTAGCAGTAAGAGCTTTAAGCTTAATTACTGCTTTACCACTTAGTTACTAGCTGTAAGATCTTTAAGCTAAAATATGCAAGATTTTCTCTTTTTTCCCTTTTATTTTGCCCCATCCCTTTTGCCTTTGACCTAGAAGTCACTTCTCACCCCTGCTTTGCATACATTCCTTCAAATCAGAAATGATATATGAATATTGCTAATAATAGACGGCTGCTTTGATCTGTGGAGTAGTAGAGCCATCCCCTTTCAAAATGAATAGGCATTTGCTATTACATCTGAACTGAAACCTTTGTAGCATAGAGGTATCAGTGACGGGAAAGGTCAATCCCATTTACAAGACAGGGAGCTGACTCCACCCTCTTTATCTGTTCTGGAGCACGGATTTATTGTATGGCAATGTTGGGAGTGAGATTAAGGCTAACTGTTAAGGCTAACTAGGCTTACTGCTTCAGATCCTGGTTAACCTGAATTGTCCTAATAGCTTTGAAAGTAGCTGCTGTTGTAATGGTTGACTGCAGACCCCCCCCCCCCAGGAATTCACACTGCACAAGAGAGGGAATGGTAGGAATGAGCGCTAACGCCCTGTAGCCCGCCTCTGATTGCTTTAGTAATTGGCAGTGTTACACGCCCCCAGCCCCTCCCAAGCAAACAAGCAAACAAACAAGCAAACAAACAAACAAACACAAGTGAGCAATCATTTCTGTAGATCAAGGCCTCAATATAGCTGTACATGTGCGCTTATGAGTCCTGCTACAAGAAAGAAGAAAATGTAGGATAGTCAATTTAAGACTTTCCATATACCACTAAATTCAGTGTGACACACAGTTGCAGATCTACTTAGTTTACTCTGGTAGTTATACCATTTTTTAATCTCATGTTTTGAGTGTGGTATAAAGTCACTATGCAAATAATACAGCAATTTTAGAAAATCGTCAGAGTGGTAGTATGTTGCAGCAAAACCATGAGTTTTGTGACAGCTTGAAGACAAACAATTTTTCATGCTACGAGCTTTCATCGACATTGTTCACGAATTCATAAAGATTAATGAGATGGTGGTTGTCCTCAGAGGTGACCACAGACTGCTGTGGGCTAGGACATCTCTCTTCCCTCCTGACTAAGGAATATGATGTAGTTATATACATGGAAGGTGACTTATTCCTTTATTCTGCTACTTGGCTAAGGGAAGTGGCTGGCTTGGGCTGTCCATCCCATCAGTCTGTGCTGAAAGGAGCCTGAGAAGAGGCATATGTCTGACCTGGAGTCTGCGGGGGAATCCTGGGTATGATGGGTTCCTACAGAAATCCAAGGGAGAATGGAGATCTATTGGAGTACTTATGTTTTGAGCCTACATCCTATGCTCAGCCTTTACATATGTGTACATGTTATGTTGCAGAAATACCTGCAGTCTCCAGTGACCTACTTCCAGGGAAACCACAGCCTGAGGAGGTCCTGGAACACAGGACATGGCTTACCATTCAGAAGTGGCATGCATGTGAATGTTGAGTAGAGATACACAAATAAGCAGTTTGTAAATCTCATTGCCAAGAACTCATGGGCACTGCAATAGGAAATTATCGTTGTAAGCCATCCCAGGACAGAAATAATGGATGGCATACAAATTTTATAAATAATAAAAATTAATAAATAAATAAAATTATTCCATTATTGGTTCCATTTGATAAAATAAGACTATTATCATGACCAAGCTTTATCTTGTTAGTCATGGAAACAGCCAGTGATAAGTAATTCACAGGTATTTGGTGGTAAAGAATAGACAGTGGTTTACACAACCTGTGTGTTTCCATGTGAATCTATTTCTAATGATGAGATTATCACATTGTGATCCTTCTTGTTCATGGCATAATGTGGGCCAAAAATTATTTATTTGCATTTCAGTGGCAGGCTGAACAATTTATCCAGGAAACCAGTGCATAGCTTTGGTAACACTGTGCACTTTTGTTTTATTGTGTGTACATAATATCTCTCTCATTGCTCTGGATAAATAATAGAAACTTGTTTAAATGCAAGAAAACAGTACTCCAGCAGTACTCAGGTTCCTTTGGGATGTTATTATGTTCAAGAATCTGAACCACTAGTGGCAGTCTATCAAAATACTTAAAATAAATTATAAGGACCCCACTTATTAGCCCAATTCCTACTTATCACTGAAAGAATCATATGGTTGTGAATGCTTCCTATTTAAGACCCAAATGTTGTTTTTGTTATGTGCCAGTGTAAGTGCCAGTAGAACCCCTTTTGTCAATAGTTCCCAGCAAATTGTGCAGACATTCTGCATCTGGCAGGGTGGTATGGGTAATATATAGCCACCCTGAGTAGTAGCCATTGATAGCCTTATTCTCATTACTTTATTGAATTTGATTACAAGGCAAATAGTGCTGATAATGATAGCTATAATACTAATTGTCAGTATGAAACACTAAGAAAAGGAATTTATAACTAATGGATCCAATATGTCAGGAAAAGTAAGAGGCATTCATCCCTACATTAGTCCTAGAATAATGCCTTTTGCTATAGATGTCTTTTGCACTATAGTTCTGCACCTGCATATAGCAAAATAGTACCTTTACTCCATATTCCTTACTTTTTAATGCTGATTCCTGTACAGTAAAATATTGTAATAAACAGAAACTCCATTCTCAATTATTGGTCATACTCCAGTATTGATGTTTGCCTGTCCTGAACACAACACAGTCTTTACTTAGTTCTGTAAAGTCATATTATAATAGATTCATTCTTATTCACCCTTTTACCTTATACAGAAGGAGCATCCAATGACAAACCTTAAGTTATACTGCAATCCTA